CCCCAAAACCCCAAAACCCCAAAACCCCAAAACCCCACTTCTATCCTCCAAAATTTAAAATATAAATTTAAATTATAAATCCCACTCATGGAGGTCAAGTACGACGCAAGTAATTCATATGGCGAGTGAAGTTCAAAGCCGAAATTCAACCCAAAGAGTAAGCCAAGGCTTATGTTTCAAATATTATTTAAGGGAGCTGAGATGAGAGACTCTGAACTCTTAAATAAAGAAATATAGATAGAAGATTTATCTGTAAACTAGTTGCGCACAGATTGGATTTTAACCGCTAGTGTTTAAATTTAGTTTAAAGATAGAATAAAATTATTAGTTTTATAATAAAATCCAGATATATCCCTCAAATTGCATTTATGTTTGTGACGCTTGAAATAGAGAATCTAAAGCAGAGACCTTGCGAGCGGGAGCAAAATGAAAATAAGAACTCTATAAATATATGAGAAAATCAAGAATCTATCTGAGAACCTGATTTCCAGTAACTCAAATGTATAATTTTTAGAGAAAAACAGAAATTTCTAGAAGCAAAATTTCAGCAATTGAAAAATGCTAGAAAAGATGGTTGCGTTGAAAAAGACAAAGATATGATTTTTTATTTGCTTGAAAAGATCAAAGTTCTAGAAACTAGCCTACAAAAAGAAAGGTAATTCTTATCTACATTACAGAATGATCAATGAAGAATTAAGGATTGCAAGAGAGAGCAATAACCAGGAGTTAATTTTGGCTGAAACTAAAATTTTATATCTTGAAAATGAAAATAAATCTTTCAAAGAGGAAATTACTAATCTAAAAACTGATCTGAAAAAGTATTTTAATTTTCAAACGTACAGCTCCACTACCTCCTTACAGAAAATTATAAATACTCATAAGGATGAACTATCCTTATCGAAACAGCAATTATCTGAAATAAACAAGATGCACCAAGAACAGATGAACACAATGACATTATCTCTTCATACAGCTCAAACTCAGTTAAAAAGTCTAAAAGTAGAATTATTAACTCAAGTATAGTTGCACATTGGAAATTCTAGTGAAGAAGAAAGGTAACTTAAACCCTCTAAGAGTTTTAGTGAACTCAAAAAGAATGTTGAAACATTGAACAAGCAGGTGAGATTATTTAGAAAGTTTGATATGACTTTACTGATTTCTCAAACTTCACAAGTCAAGTTTTAAATCATCATATAAATATATAAAAGATAGATCTTGGAAAAGACATTGCTTTAGGCTACCTCCTTTCTGCTTGGTGATACTTCTACTTTATACTTGTTAACTTTTGAAGCTTAAACAAATTATTATCAAATTTGGTCATACTCTATTTGAAGTATAAAGAATCAGAATAGCCTCCTAAAAATAGATGTCTGGCAGTGGACGTTACTTAATAAAAATTATATCGTTAAACTTGTGTTAACTCTTTAAATTTTGAATAAATTTCACAAAATATTGTGTAGTTCTTTAAACTCATTGGCAGCTGTTAATTTTACTATTAATAACTTAGAAGATTCTAGCTCATAATTCCTCTTATAATAAGTATTATTACTGAGCTTAGCACAGATATTTATGAAAAATGAAAGATTGCATGCTCAGATTATTCTAAATTTACACTCTGTTCCTTCTAATTTTCTAACTTTATCTAATAACACTAAACAATTGTTTTCATAGGTGAAGTAAAATCATAAAGTTCTCAAGTATCTAGATACAACACAGAACATATCATCAGCTTGGCTAAAACCAAAGCGGCCATGAATAAGTCAAAACTATCTGATGTAATTCATAAGGAGAAAAAGAAGAACAAAGATATATTGGAAGAAATTAGAAAGCTAAAAATGTACAACAAAAGTATATCAAATTTACATTAAAATTAAATTTTCCACAAATTCATGGCTATTTAAAACTTCATTTTTTAGGTTTAAACTGGGGTTTTGGGGTTTTGGGGTTTTGGGG